GCCTCATCACCACATAAAAATAAATAAAGATATCGTGTCCAACTACAACAAAAATAAATAAATAAATATTTTTTTAAAAAAGAGATTCATTGTTTATTATTAATTTCTTTCTCCTTAATTTTCTACCTTGATCATTATTTCTATTTTGTGGGAGGGAGCAGGCATAATAAAATCCAAATGGATGTTAAATCTACTGATAAAAAATATTTTTGAGTTTTTCATTCTATTAATAAATATTAGATATCCTCATCCCAATTAAAAGATCATTCAAAATTTTCCTGTTAGATCAGGAAAAACTAACATCATAGTATAGTGGTAGGCTCAAAACACTTTGAGTTAATTTATTTTTTTATTTTTTACATACATGACAATAGTGGAATGCATTACACTCATTATTACCTATTTATAGCACAAGTTTTCATAACTCTGAATATAAAGTATGTTCACATCAAATTATGCCATTATACATGTACTTTTTTTGCATTACAATTCTTAATACACATATATACCACAATTTTTCATATCTCTGTTTGTATATAAGGAATGTTGACACCAAATTCAAATCTTCATACATATATTTTGAACACTTTGAATTTAGACTTCACTTCATATTCTGAATATGCCACCTTATGACCTATATGACTTTGGATTTAACCATGGTAAATGACACTGTCTTCCCTACGAATTGAATTCAATAATACACATGCTAGATAGTTAAGAATTACATTATAAAGCATGTGTAAAGTACCAAGCACTATATAAAACCTTACACAGATAGTTCTCCCCTTTGTCAAAATGAAAAAATCACTCTTTTTAAAAAAAATTATTGGCTTGGTTTAAAAAAAAAAAAGCTACTACCCAGAGGGAAAAAAATAACACCTTAAACAAAAGATACAGCTTAAAATAGTCAGTGGTTGGCTACTTCAGGGGGAGAAAAAAAATGGGTGAACGATTTTAAGGGTTTTCCTAAAATAATACAAAATTATTTTAGGTGGTCAGGCAAGTGACAACCAATTTCAATCAAGGAAGAGTCCTAAAAACTCATAAATGCATAGAGAAATATCAACAGAAAGAGAAACTAATAAAATAACCTTCAAAAAACAAAAATAATTATAAACATAAAGAGTAAGCAAGCTGGAAATTTGATCATTTTGTTGGATTATTCTAAAAATTGATAATTTAATTTGAATATGATTTTGCTATGAAATTATATGCCTTACAAAACTGTATCCATTCTATATACCTACATACATGTCACACCATAGGATTCATACAAAATCATGTATGCTATGCTTCATAAATGAATTGATTTTTTAAGGGTACATGGAACTATGACTGCACTATATTATAAAATGGCTAAGCATATACATTATTCTGAATTACCAATTAAATTATATTCCTTCAAAAACAGAATTACTTTTCAGCTTTTATTAACTTTGTTTTTAAATAATCATCTACCAAGAAATTAATATCATAAGTAAAACCTTCATGTTCAGGAAATTTATTTTTAAACGCCATTATTAATTCAATCTGATTTGAAGTGTCAGCTAGTCTTCTTTCTGCAAGATATATTTCTCATACAAATCTTATCCTTGCCTGAATATGAAATAATCTAACTCAGGAAATTATATTTTCATGTTTCTGTTATCTTGTATTATCTTCCTAAAGAAAAATATGATTAATAAGTATTTTTCATCTTGTTTAGAATTCTATCTGAATTCTGAATAGAAGACTATCTTTAGTACAAAGATCTCTTTAATCTTAAAAAGAGTATCATGGTGGCTTTCTGAAAGCAATAATAATACCAACAATAACAACAAAAATGAATATCTTTTTCATATTCTAAAATTTGACTTCATGCTAGATTTACAACAAGAACATTAAGTATGTATTGTGCTATATGTTACAGTTGATCCAGACTCATTCACTAGCTCTGGTTCTATTATTAGCTGTATTTCAGTTACTTTTTGAAAATAGATGTCCAGGACCTAATATCAAAGAATCTGATTATATAGTTCAGGTGTTTATTTCCCAACAACTTTCGCAGAAATGCCTAGGTATAGCCATGTCTAAAAATCACTAACATATACCCTCTACATCTATCATGCATAATAAAATGAGAACAGTGAAGGCAAGGTCATATCTTAAAGATTAATGATACTAATAGTATATAACTGATTAGAGTCCTAAAGCTGAAATTGTACATTTTAGAGCAGAAAAATTAGAATTGGCACAAATATTCCTATTCATTTAAAAATCATATAACAATGCAAGCCACTAAGTCATCAGGTGCATTACAGTTAAATATACTAAAAAGTTCTAGCATACCATACTGAAGAGAAAAATAAGCAACATATTTTTTTCAAAACAGATCCATTTTCTATTTGGTTCACTTTATCCATTTCCACAAAACCTACTCCATAAGGAAAATAATTATTGTGAAAGACATTTTCTAATGTATGAAAAATAATTTTCTCAAGAAAATATTCCCAACACTGGGTGCTACCATCCTAGGAAGATAAACACAAACTATATGGGGGAAGTTTACTGGGAAATATATACAAATCATCAAATAAGATTAAAAAAACTTTCACTCTATGTTGAATTACATGGCTGCCTTTTGTGTTTTTGTTGTTAATATTATTAGCTCAGGGCCAAAAAAAATCTTATGTTAAAATATAAAACTGTTTAAAATATGCCATCCTTCCTCTTGTCTGAACAGTTTGTTTAAAAAATAAAATTGATATTTTCTTCTATCTACAGCATTAAAAATCAAACATTACTAAATATAGGGTGTCTGATAATATATGTGGAATTAAAAACATACAATGGACCAAATCAATAAGCATGGTGTAGTTGAATAAGAAGACTAGCACAAGTTTCAGGAGTTACAAAAGGCTAATCTATCACTTAGGACCTATATAATTTCAGATAAGTTTCTGTTACTCTTGTCTGTTTAATATTCTGAGGACAATAACATCTTGTTACATGGTTAGAAATATTACAGATTTCTGTATACAATTCTCTTGGCATAGTATCTCACACTCTGCTAACAAGGAATTTTTTTTCTAACAAGGAATTTAATAAAAACAGTACTAATTAGAATATGATAATCTAACCTCTTTCTTCCTCTCTTTTATGAAACAAAACCCTCTAATATTTCTTTACCTTAGTAAGATTTTTGACACATAAGACCTAAGATATAATCTTCAACAATATAAAAGAAATAAAAATAAATCCCCAATATGTCAGCTACCAAATAGCTCAATATTAAATACTTCATCAAAGTAGAGACACTGTGTGGAAGCTCCTTGAAAAATCTTTTACAAGTTCGAAGTCCCACTGGGTGGATTTTTAACAATAACAACATTCTAAACTTTTCCTAATATTTTCCCCTAGAAGAAAAATGAACGAACAAATAAATAAAGTTTTAATCTTCCTCCATAAAAATAATCTATCTCATTACCATTGCCAGAATAGTATACTGATAGCCTCAGTATGTCAAGAATAAACCATAACAAGGTCACTGCCAGCCTGGATTCAGTGTTTCATCTGAACCGCTTTGCTGGATGCCAGATACTAATTTATGAGGCTTCTAAATGCTGAGACAGTCTCATGTTCATCATTAGTAACCATGTCAAATTATTATTTCAAAAAGGTTAAGGTTATCCAAGCATGCTGGTATGTACCTATAATCCCAGTTATCCCAGAAGCTGATATAGGAAGATAACAAGTTTGAGGCAAGCACTGACAGTTTAGTGAGATCCTTCCTACCTCAAAACAATATAAAAAGAGCTGGGAACTTAGCTCAGTGGTGGCACACTTGCCTAACATGCATAAGGTCCTGGGGTCAATTCCCAGTACCACTCCAAAAAAAAAAAAAAAAAGGAAAAGATTTAATTATTTAGGATCAAATGATTAATCACAGACCAATGCTCACAGTTTTATATACTTAACTTTATTACTGGTAATTTCCTACAAAAGAAATTTACAACACAACAAATATCAATGTGCCTAATTAATAGTCACAAATTTCTTCATATGCTGCCACTTGAAATAATTTATCAAAGCAGACTATGCTTAAGAGCAAATGTATATTTCTAGCACCTATTCAATGTGCTATATTTTTTGGTCTCCTTTATTTTTATTTATCAAAATGTTTCCTGATATTCTCAATTTGGTATACTACATTATGCCATCCTGGAAGGTTCTCTTAAGTAATGCTAAATATATTTTAAATATCAGCTACATTTTCTCAATAATAATTCCTTCTCACAGAGAAGGAATGATGTCATTACAATGAGCTCCTGGATAGCTAAATTTAGTATTTCAATAAATGAATACATTTAAATATTCAGAAATCAACAGGACAGTAGCATAATTTAAATTAAGTGAAAAATACAAATGCACTTTATTTCTGAATCTCTGGGGGGAAAACCTTATTTAGTTCTTCTAGTCTGAGGTTTGTTATACATTTTCATTTTGTCTCATAATCTTACTTCTTTAGCTGTACCTTCTCCATACTCCTTTCTCTAGTTCTATCAGATTCCTATATTTAGTATCTGGAATATTTAATATAAATTCAGTTTTTCTCATTCCTACTAAATCTAAAATGTATGCATTCCTACTATTTGAAATTTACATAATTTGACAGCATTCCATATCTATCCATTATCAAAATTAATATAATAATAAACACAATAGACTGATACAGTACTCACATAGGGAGGGATACATTATATATATAAAAGCCTTCAAAAAGGACATTCAAAGATGGATTTCACTATTTTCTGTATCCACCACTAACTCACTCCACTACTTCTGTTCCCTTGGCTCTACACCAATACTAATATGCTGCAATTAGAGAGAATGCCACTCATAATCTATCACTGAATTTACCTCTAAAATGACATATAAACATGCTGTCAAATGTATTTGAGAATATTTATGGGGAAATTTTCTGATATTTCCTACTTTATACAATCCTAACAGATACATACCTATGTCATATGCCAGGAAATCGGCAGAAAAACATTTTGCACCGTTACTCAAGGAAGTGTCATTATGGGTATTTCCTCCAAAAATAAGCATAGCTCCATTGATAAGAACAGCTGAATGAAGATATCTGGCAAACCCACTTTCTTTCAAAATAGTCCTACAGAATAAAATTTAAAAATGTATTACAAAAGATAAAGAGACCTCCCTGATTATATATATAAATTATATAAAGGGTTGAATTTGCATATAGAATTTTTCCTGGAATTGTGGAAAAAACAAGGCTTTCTTAACCATTTATAAATGACCACTTAAGTTTCAATATTTTTTTTAAAAATTGAATATTCTCAGTATCATAAAATGATTTTCAAACAAGTATCAAACAGAATTGTTAAAACTCAATTCGTTTTTGAATTATCTTTTCATTTATAAAGGTAGGAAACAAGTCTTCTTTAACTAGAGGCCCAAAACATCATAATTTTTAAAAAATTTTATTGGTGCATTATTACTATACATAATAGTGAGAGTCATTATGATATGCACATTGTGATATGTACATGCACATAACATAATTTGGTCAATTTCATTCCCCAGTACCCCCCCTTTCCCTTCCCTCCTCCCTCTCCCTGACCCCCATTCTCTATACTACTGATCTCCTTTCTAATTTCATGATATCCCTTTTATTATTTATTTATTCTTTTTAGCTTCCACATGAGAGAAAATATATGACCCTTGATTCTCTGGGTTTCACTTATTTCACTTACATGCAAAACATCATTGCTTTTAAATACTAAAATAAGTAAAAAGTTAACCATAGTAAACTTACTAAAAATTCTATTTGGTTGAAATTATAGAACTCATATGGACCCCTAAATAAACTTTTTATTTAAATATAACATGCACAAAAGTGCAGATATCGTAAGTCTAAGATTCAGTGAACTTTCACAAGATGAACACAACTAAGTAATCAGCACCTAGATAAAAAAAATGAAACCAAACATTACTACTTTTCCAATTCTAAGAGCATAGATTTGCTTTGCTGTTTTTGTACGTTACACAAATGGAACACATATATTATACTCATTTGTGTGTAGGTTCTTTTGCTCAAGATTATTTTGGGACACATCTACACTTTTGTGTGTACCTAAAAATTAAAATTACAATGCATTTTAGAGAAATGGTAAATATTCAGGTTTTTTAATTAAAATGTAATTGAAAGTACTATGAATATATGCTCACAAGTATAATTTCTCTGAATGAATATATAATATAGGCAAATGATAATAAGAATTAATATTTTATAACTACCATGAATAAACACCTGGCACAAACAAATATGTATAGTATATATAGTTAGTACTATATAAGTAGTATCTCTAAAATTGTGGATTATAATGCTATTTTAATGCTTTAAAATGTAAGGGTGGGGCTGGGGCTGTAGCTCAGCGGTAGCACACTTGCCTAGCATGTGTGAGGCACTGGGTTTGATTCTCAGCACCACATATAAAGAAATAAATAAAATAAAGGTCTATCAACAATTTTTAAAAATTTTTTTAAAAAATGTAAGGGTGACTTTCAGAATGACAATAGGAGGCTTTTCTCAAACACCTTCCCAGGGGAAAGAACTATAGTTAGTATTTAGTATTAATATATATTATACATATATATGTATAATATATATTATATATTCATAGAAGCTAAAGCTAACACTAGTTACGTGTGTGTATATATATATCACTAGTTACATGTATATATATAAATGTAAGATCTCAGAAATTTTTAAGTAAAAGAGTAATAATTAAAGAATTTTTATTCAAGAACAGCTACTAAATTTTGGTAAGAATATTAATAGTGTATGGCGTCAAATCCATTACATACTCCATTACTTGCCCTCCTCCTTGCCCTAGGCCACACACAGTCAGTTCAGAATGACAGAATTTCTACCCCAAAAGGAAAAACAAAAAGCTCCTTCACTCCTTAGCTTCTAGTCCAGGCCAATGATATCTTACAGAGTGTATTAGGCTACCAGCATTTTTCATGCCCTCCAGCTCTGGGTTACAGAAGCTCTACTGCAGAAAAAAGCATGAAAAATCTGGATACTCTTACCCTACCCAGGCTGGATTCATAGGTGCTAGCTACCCACTAGGCACAGCAGGCCAAGAACAATAATGTTTATCCTACCTCACTGAAAAGGCAGAGGTTCAAAGCCAGACAAGACAAGCTTAGAATACCACAGGCCACAATCCCCATGTAATTGCCTGCACGTGACGCAGCGAGTGATACTATCCAATGGGAACCAGGCCACTAAGTTCACCTACCTACAACCCCAGAGTTTCAGCACACAGGTTTTGCTTAGGAAGAGAAGCACACTAAGAAGATAAGGAACTCTAAAGCTCTCCTAAAGGAATTGACTTCATTTAAAATAGAGGATGGAAAAACTCAAAGACTAATTGCAGACTCAAAAACAATGGAGATTTTGCTTATATGAAATTAAGACTAGTATTAGCTTCACAAGGACAGTGAGCTAAACTGTAAACCAGACGGAAGTTTAACAGAGAGAACCAGGGGAAGGGATAGCTAATAAAAGCTCTCCAATGGTCAGAACAGACCTCCAACACAACCCTATAAAGTTCTCAAATTGAATTCCATTAAGCTTTTTAAGTCCCACAGCCTTGCTAAAAACAATAGAACAATCAGTCAGCAATTGGTGGAGGCTAACAGCTGGATGTGATAACAACAAAAGCAGAGCTTTAGAGAGCTTAGAGAAAAAAATAGAGCCTTGCTGAAATTACTATCATCCGAGAGTGAAAGTGTGTCTCCACACACTTTGAGGAACAACATTGGAATAGGCACATGGAGGAGGAAACAAATTTCACTACAAGAGTCCAGCCAAATGACTTAATAAATAAAATAGCAGTGGTCCTGGAAAAGGCAAAGGAATTAGGTTCCAGTGTGACTACAATAAATTATCTAAAATACCTGGTTTTCAGGAAAAATTACAATATACAAAGAAACAGAAAAGTGTGACCCATAATAGTAAAGGAAAAGTAGGCAAGACAAATTGCATTTGAAAACTTCAAAGTACTTATTAGAAATAAGCTCTTACAGGTAAATAAAACAGTGTTTAAAGAAAAAAATATGACAATGTCTTATAAATATAAAATATCATATTATGTCAAAATTAAGAAAAAATGGAAATTTTTGAACTGCAAAATATAATTATTGAAATTGAAATTTTTATTAGAGGAGTGATTGACACTCCCATTAGCAGGCAGAAGAATCAGTAAATTTGAAGATAGATCAATAGATTGTACAATATTAAGAACAGAGAGGAAAATGAACAGAACCTCTAAAAAATGTAGAACACCATTAAGTACACTGTTCTGATGGGAATACCAATACAGAGGAGAGGGAGAAGAAAGTTGAAAAGTTTTGTTGTTGTTATTGTTGTTGTTTTCAAAACAAAGCATAACAAATGCTGGCAAGGATGTACAGAAAAAGAAATTCTCAACCACTGTTAGTGGGAATGTAAGTAAGTATGACCATTATGGAGAATAGTATGGAGGCTCCAAAAAACTAAAACTAGATCTACTATATGATCCAACTATTTCACATCTCCATATATACAGAAAGGACATGAAATCAACATAACTAAGCAATATCTGCAAGCCCATATTTATTGCAACTCCAGTTACAATAGCTAAGATATTGAATCACCCTCATAGCCATCAATGAATGAACAGATAAAGGAAACTTGGCATATACACACAATTAAGTATTATTCATCCATAAAGAAGAATAAAATCCTGGCATTTACAGCAAAATGAATGGAAGTAGAGAATAATATGTTAAGTGAAATAAGTCAGACACATAAAGAGAAGTGTCAGTATCTCTCGTGTAAAGGTTAAAAAAAAAAGTTGAGCTGAGTAGAAAACAATGATTACTAGAAGTTTGGACATGGGAAAAGGCTGTATTTGATCTATGCTGTATGCACTATGCTGTATGCATACTCTGGAATATCACATGAAACTTTGTTAATATACAATCAATACATGTTAAAAAAATTTTAAAAAATAATAATGGCTGACAACTTCAAAATTTCATGAAAAACATTAATCCACACATTCAAGAAACTAAGCAAACTCCAAGTAGAAAAAAAAAGACATAAAAATCCATACTCAAATACATAATGGTAAAATACTGTAAGAGAAAACTCCTGAAATCAGCATAGAAAACTGACTATGCACACAAGGGAACCCTAATGAGATGAACAGCTGACTTTTTTTTTTTTTTTCTGGCAGTGGGTGTTACTGGGGATTGAACTCAGGGGCACTCAACCACTGAACCATATCCCCAGCCCTATTTTGTATTATTTAGAGACAAGGTCTCACTGAGGTGCTTAGCTCCTCTCTTTTGCTGAGGCTGCGTTTGAACTCGCGATCCTGCATCAGCCTCCTAAACCACTGGGATTACAGGCATGCTCCACTATGCCTGGCAACAGCTGACTTCTAATCAGAAACAATAAAGGCCTGAAAACAATGAAATGACAAATTCAAAGTACTGAATTAAAAAAAAAATGTCAACCAAGAATCTCACATACACAAAAGTGTCTTTCAAATGTGACTAAAAAATAAAGACACTGCCATATTGACAAAAACTAACAAATTTGTTGGTAGATCAACCTTACAAGATACAAAATGAAGTTTATTCAGTCTTATAATTATTCAAACCTAGAATGCTAGCTAAGGCAACTATAAACCAAATTACAAATGCATATTTCTCCAACTGTCTTTTTCTAATAAATTTGAAAAGCAATTTATATAAGAAAATACATACGTAATTGGATTGTTTGGGGCTAAAAGATATAGAAATATATTTCACAAAGAGATAAACTGAATAAAAGCTCCTCTGAAGTAAAGAAATAATACCAAGACCTGAGGATACCTCAAGATAGTATACTTTGAATACACGAGGTTCTAGGTTCAATCCACAGCACACACATACACACAGAAAAAAAAGAAATAAAATTACTACACAAAATTATTCAATAACAATGATTTCCCTTTCACTCATCCTATAATCTAATACTTCTATATTCTCACATCACAATCTACCTCTCTCCCTATTCTCTCTCTGTCCACCATTAGAAACTGTAAACCC